TCAAAAAAAGTAAATATTGTTTATCTAAAATATATATTATATATCCATTAGAAGTGTCTCGGGTTCGGGAAAATATAATCTGCAGGTAACCGCCTACTCTGACATTACCCTCGAAAACAGTAAAGATCATATTAATATAATTAAATGGTAAGAACTGAGAAGTACTATGTAGTACCTAATGATACGTATAAGCATTATAAGCAGTAACGTTATCGTCATCTACTGCGCCCATTCGTTTTCACACCATTACGGCGGCGTGATGGCGATGGGCGATCTCCCCTCCCCCACCCCGGGAACGCGTGACGTTCCATATTTCCGCCGTATCGCGCGGGTAGTGTCTCGGAACATTTTAAAAGAGCGTCGTTATATCTGTCGCGATCGACTCACAACGCTCTCGTCTCGTTCCGATTGCCCCGGAATCGGAAGTCGGAAAAGTCCGCGTACCTTTACGTGTCCGGTGCTCTTGACCGCTGTTCCGTTTCGCGAACTCTCGTCGACCGACGCGTTCATGGACGGAGACCGGTACGTGACGTCCGCGTCGTCCTGCTCGGCGGTCCGGCGGTCGCGCGCCGCGTACGCGTTCATCCGTTCCAAGAGGAGGGTGTACGGCGACGGGCCGCCGCCGTCGTCCCACGCGCCGCCCGACGTGTCGGACGACGGCACTTCGCCCCGTTCCACCGTGAACGAGTATCCCAGTTTTTCGCCCTGCGCGTCCCACTTCAGACAGCCGACGACCGTTTTCGACGCGCTGCTGTCCGCTTGCGCCGGGCCGTGCGCATCCGCCGCCGCCGCGATCGTGTGCTGGACGCTCTGGGTGTGGCACGACCACAGGTGTATCGACGATTCTATGGCCGCCGTCAGGTAGCCCGTCGAACTCCAGTCCAGTATCTTGGTCACTGCACAGATTAATACGAAATACCGTCAAAGGCGGGCGTTAACTGGTTAAAAAGTTAAAGCTAAATTTAAAAGTTAATTTTTTTGTTTTTTTTTAACATTCTAACTCAACTGGTCGGCTTATTTTCTGATCAATTTATGAACTCAAAGAGTTTAATTGATCGCAGTTGAAATGTTGAAATAACTTAGCCTTTGCAGTTGATATTAAAAACGTTTTCAATAAAATAGTGAATTACAAATTGTATTGTTTTTTATGTTTTATGTTCATGACCTTCAATTGCTATATTGTGTAAAAAAATTAATATTTTTTAAGTTATTAATTTGAGATGTGTATAGTTTAAATTGAAAAATAATATAACATGTAACGTAAAAGGTATTTACAGTGTACCTACAATGTATATTATGATAAAAGTTCAATAAAATTGATTTTTATAATTTAGTTAATTAGAAACACATAGTCATTCCTTATGTGATTTACATAGGTAGTAATTAAAAAAAAAAAAAAATCAACTTTTTTTAAATTGAGTTAAGTTAATACTTTTTTCTATATTATAAATTTTAACTTATCGAGTTAATTTTATAATTTGTGAACGGTTAACTTCTAGCTTATCGTTCTTGTGCTTTTTTAACTTAACTTGAGATAAATATTTTCTTTAACTTGCCCACCTTTGAATATCGTCTACATCAGCGGTTCTCAAACTGTCGGGTTACGCGCGTACCAGTAGTGGTACGCGGAGGGCCGCATAGTGGTAGAACGAAAAATTGAAATTAAATGGTTTTACTCGTGTTTGAAATAGTTATTGTAATATTATATTTTTTATAAAATACGTGATCACAATTATTTACCAGTTATATTTCATCGCTGTGATAGCAAACCGACAAATCCGTGGTTCTCAATGAAAAATTGTTATTTTATTCACATCTTATTTGAAACAAAAAAACTAATAAATCTGTATTAATAAACAAATAATTATTATATTGTACTATTTTACTGCCTTATTGCTTAAAATAAATGTATTTAACTGGGTGAAATTTGGATCGTTCTATTTTTAATCATAAGTGGTACGCAAAAAAAAATATTTGAGAATCACTAGTCTACATCACAGTTTATATTGTAGTATAATAAAATTATTGTAGGAATCGATGAGATAGAATTTCAAAAAAAAAAAAAAATACTTGATAAAATAAATAAATAATTGTAATACTGTAATATTATAACAATAATAATAGTGTAGTTAATTTTGTAAATACACTTATTAGTATTCATTTCAATATTGTTTTGACTAAGCTATTGATGGACTTACGAAACTGTAAAGGATCGTATAGTCAATAAAGTAACGATTCGACAATTCTCGTTTTCAAAACAACTAAAGGGAGTGTCAACAACGGAAATTTATAAAAAATAGTTGGTAACAAAAAATAAAAAAAAATTCTAGATAACCACTTTACCATTTTGCTGTACACAGTAGGTATCGAGCGTACTTAGTCATTGAGTAGGTCGCTTTAACGTAATTAACGTATGGGTTAAATTTGAACTCAATAATAAATAATTGAACGCCAAAAACGATACTGAGTAGAGACTGTGAGTCTCTAGCATTTTACTAAAATAGTAATTTATTTTATTATCAATAATGTAATAGGTTGAGTTAATTTTTACCGAAAATATTGCGTTTGAATATGTTTTTCTGTACATAAAATATAAAAATAACACGTAAAATTTAAGTCTCCAAAAATAATATTTTTGAATTATAAACAAAATAATTATAACTTTTCATTTAAATATCTAATTCTGTCCAAATTTATGTCTGTAAACAGTATAAAAACAGTAAATATTTTTAAGATTTTAGCATGAATAAAAAATATGCTACTATAAAGTATAAACATTTAATAAAAATTCAGGTATTTACGATTATTCGTTTATATATTAAACAAAATAACCAAAACCGATTTTGTCAAAAACTAGTTTTGCGTTAAAATTTCTATTTTTCCTTAGTTTTTTTCTGATTATTAAGAAAAATACTATTAATCTACTAATTATATATATTTTTATATTTAAATAAATGTTTTATGTTTATGTGGTATTTCGTGTAAAAAACGTAATATTTGATATTTTATTTTTATTTTATCAAATAGAAACTATTTATGTATAGAAATATTTATATAAGTAATACGTTTATTCAAAAAGAAATAATATAGATTAGATACGTTAGCTAACCTATGTAGATTAAATTGGTAATCTATTTAATACAAAATTAATCATTAAAAATAAAATATTGTTATAAATAAATAAAAATAGTAGTTTAACTTTACATCAATTAGGTTTTCTGCTATCATAGACATTTATAATTATATAAAATGCCCAGTTCACACATATGATAATTTCTAAATAATTTCCTAAAAGTTAAAATTTAACACTTTTATTATGTTTAAGCTATATATAATAGTATAAAGTTTATTAGTAAATGTACCATATTATAGAATATTACGATATCAATTAGATGATTAACTACCTACTTTATACATAATATAAATTACTATATTCATAGTATATTTTTTCCTGTCTATCTTATCGACTATAAGACATAAATTAATTTGATAACATTTTAAATATCATTTAAAACACAAATTATAAGTTTATGTAAATTAGAAGATATTTAAGAAGAATATAAATGTGTCTATCACTAATATATTTTTATTATAGCTAGCATGTGTACCGTATCTACGTAGTAAGATTTTCAAAACTATTGATAACAAACATAATGTGTATTAGGCAATTAATTATTATTCAGTATTACGTATATTCATTTTTACGAGTATTATGTATTCTTTGAAAAACAGATTTTCTAGTATCAGCATATTTTATTAAAATAATAAAAAATATTATAGAATATGCTAAAAATATGGTTTGTTGTATAAAATAAGAAAAATTTCACATAACATTTTGCATACCTTATTAAATTTAATGTTTTTTTTTAGATGTTTACTATATTTTGCTTTTTTTTTTTTATCTTAAATTAGATTTGTCATTCCTGTAAATTTATAATATCTTTATTATTTATATACTATACCCAGTTTTAAAATTAACTTTTTATACGTTTATTCATTGATATTTATTTACCTTAATCAACAACAATCTTTTATATTAGTCAGTAATCGCTCTTAGTTATACTTATATGCGGTAGGTTCCTTCTTAACTCACAAAATTATCCATTTTCAGTATTTTTGTGGATAAGAGTACACAGAAATATAAAATTGATCTAAAGTAATCATATGGTGTATTTCGTGTATATTTTATCATTTTCACTACATATTTCAATTTATTTAATGCACAATTATTAATTATTATATATTATTGTAAGTTCCATATGTTTTTATAACTGTATGTGATTTTTATATTAACATTCTTATACACGCATAATAATCTAAAATTGAGTTTTACTGTACATATTAGTCTTTTGAACTAGTTTTAATGAAGGAGTGAAGATTTGGAAATATCAGTCAGGTTAGGTTAGGTTTAAATTTACCCATCTACCAAAACCACTCGTTTTCCTCGCGTTTGTACCCTTCGCGCGTACGTTTACAAGCACACACATGGAGTTATAAATTACAATAATATCATAGCACAACGTTTATATACATCCACGTTCGTTACAAAATAATAGAACATGTTTATATATTTTACGTGTATTTATAGTAATTATATTTAACCTAATATAAATTAATATTACGTATTCCAATTTCCTTCATAATTAACCTTTTAAAATACTTTTATTATGCTATTATTATAATACTAAAATATTAGATATATCTTTTTATAGAATTTTAGCTTAACGGGATGGTCGTTCTTAAATAAAATTATCAGCACACTACTAGGTATACTCTATACGACACGTTGAAATAAAATACTTTTAGATTATTATTGGTAACTTACTCCAGTCGTTTGACAGATTCGGCATGTCCAACAGTAGATCGGCTGCCAGTGATTTTTTATTGATATGATTGAACTTCCGGGCCAAACGTCTCTGACCAACCATCCGAATAGGCCACGTCAAGTCAACGTCCCGGTATACAGTGACGAGGTCTAACTTATCTGCATCATTATTACGTTTGTTCAATACGTGACGCAACAAGTGTCCGTCAGTGGACTCCAGTGACATGTATGACTGAAGTTGGCGGAAAGCTCGGTGCCGCTGCTCTTGCTGCCGCTCGCATTCGAACGGCTCCAGGAAATCCTATCCAAACATTGGATCAATATCAATCGAAATGTTTTTCGTAAGCACCCAGGTCGATTGAAGAAATACGAGTTCGAAATGAACGTATTCCCGTCACAATTGTGTACCGTAATTACTTTTTCATAATCACGAAATCCCTAACACATTGCAATTCCCAGAGTCACGGTTAACAACAAACAGCAACGCGCGCAACAACTGCAGACTATTTCGATTCAAAATGCATGCAATCGCTATGATTATTCCTATTACATCGGGTTCGTGAAGATTAATGTAGATACATTATTATACACTATTTATATACTTCTACCTATATACTGGATCGCAAGCTGATGAATAATAATTAGCGAGTGTCGTAATTTTTTTTTACAAGATCTTTCTAGACTCGAGATTTATATCATGAAAATTGCAATAATATGATTGTGGTGACCTACGGTTGACGATTGACGATCGCCAGATGTGACGAAATTATCTATTAACACGATATTATAATACATATATTATTAGTATACGTATAAAAAGAGTTACCTGCATACAGGGACTAAAATTGCGTGTAGTACAACATATCTGGTGTAGTACGAAATGCCAAGTGTGTTGTGTGTAATACGAAATTAAAAAATGTGTAATGATCTGTAATAACTAGAAACTTTTTTTACAGTTTGTTTTCCATTAATTGAAAAATTATTGTTGGGATATAAATAAGAATTTAATGAATAATATATTATTGTATACCATATTATAATATCTATGTTATCAATAGGTATTTTGGTTATTTGTGTATTTTCTTATATTATCCATAAATATTGCTATTTTTAGAATTTTCATTATGTTACTAAAACATTGATTAATCTTACAGTATAGTGTTATGTATAGTGTACGATAAAATAATCTACGATTAAACTACGAGTAATAACTATCAGTTAACGACGATCTATGAGTCTAAGACTCAAGATTTTATTTTAATTATTATTTAATCAATTTACGTTTATACTTTATTCATTATTGATTATTGGTTCTGATAAATTAAGTATTACAATATTAAAATATTAATAATGTATAAGTGGCTAATAAAACAATAAAAATAAATTTAACCAGCTACATCTACTATTATAACTTATTACAACCATATACTAATGAATAATTATGACATGTCTGTAAAGCATAGCGTGCTAAGGTTAGGTTAACCTAACGCGTTGAGAGTAATATTAAAAATAAAATAAATGCTTATTTTGAAAAAATTAGGGAAAAGAAAGAGTCCTCCACGGTAACTCCAAGATGAACATAAAGTGTGTAATACGAAAAAATATATATTTTAGTCTCTGCCTACATATTATGTAAATACACTCGCACGGTGTCTTTGTGTCGGCTTTAAAATTTCTGTAATCGAAAACAAAAACACGCACATATGCGTATAACAGCATAAGTAAATGGGTACTTACGGAGTCTTCGCCGCCGTTGGACACACAATCGTATTGGTGATTTGCGGTGATGTGGTGTAGAGAATAAAACGAATACGGGCTCCGACGTCGATCGGGCACGAATCGATCTCTGCCTTGGTTGTATTTGAACATGATGGCAGAAAAATTAACTATAATTATAATAACCGTCGATACACAAACAGAATATTTGAAGCGCACCGTTCATCACACTATAAACCCTACGCTACAGTATAATAGTAATTTTATCGGATATTATTATGGATTGCGATGGTTAGCATACGGACGGAGTCGATGGTTTTAGATTTGTACTCGCGTCGTCGGCGTAATCGTTACTACTGGAAAAAGTAACATTTTTTTCATAAATATATTAGTATTCATATTGTTATTAATATTATCATCATCGTGACGGCCGTTGTATCATTACGTTGTACCACCACTCATACATACCGACGTATATATTTATATATATATTTATATGAATACATCTGTATCCGTACAGGCACGCTACGAGGAGAGGGATCCGATAATCGTACGATTAGAAAACGGTTTACCCTATTGAAAACATTAATAATAATGGTGTACAGTATTTAAATTGTATTCAGATCGTTAAACGATATCATGTGTTTCGACTTACGCGACCGATAAAGGTCCGCACAGGCACGCCGCGGTTCGTGTGTAAATCTTACAGTACGATTATTAATATTTAATGGCCATAAAAACAATGATAACGGCGTGTGCGTTATAGAATAATATCGTTGCTCATTAATTACCGTCATTAATATCAGTTATAATACGCATCGTATTTATCTATGTCCATTATATCGAATCGTTACGATAATTTACATTAACATAAGCCCATGAAACTTTTCGTAATCATATTATTACACGTATATAACTATATAAGACGGGATGTTAGATTTGGTGGGTAAACGCGATGATAATTATTATAAAAATATCGAAATACTTATGTAGGGATTTTTGGTTGTGCAATAGCCAATGAATCATAACTCACTGGATACGTATCGAATATAATATTAACATTATGTGGCTGATTAAAATATACAACAGATGTATTTTAATACAAGTATTACAACCATAGACCTTATACCATAAGGTCTATGATTATAACTATACAGCCGACTTAATATCTTTTTTCTAAAATTTAAAATACAATTATACACGCAATATTTTAGATTCAAACACATTACCGTATTCGATTGTCACAGCTGTCAGCCAAAATATTTATACAATGTACTGTTTTTTCAATGTTTACTTCAACAACTTATGTACGATCTGACCATTGTATGTAGATAATTATATTATAATTTGCTCGGAACACATTTAAAGCACAAATCTGAAATTTCAGAATATTTATTACTAGTTTTTATATTTAAATACTAATTGAGCTTAAAAAATATATAGATATATGCACCAACTATCAAATGTTAATATGTAATATTACTCTACTTGTTTGAATAGATAAATTTATGTTTTAATATTATAAAAATGTATGTACCTACAATTTAAAAATTATAAATGAAAAAATAATATTACTAATTACTTATAAAATATAATAATTACTTAGGTATAATTAAAAATAATTTATTTCTTAATTTAAATAAAACATGCGTTGTCCTTAATAGATCATAATATGTTCCTTGCAGAGACAAAAATAAAAATTTACAATGATCATTTTATAGTGTACACATTACACAATTACAAAACTGTTGTGGATCAATAAATATGGAACACAATCTTAAATATTTAGGAATTGAAATCAGTAGTAATATGAGATGGAAAAATCAAATTAATGTTTTAACAAAAAACTTAGAAAATTAATTATATATTAAGAAATCTAAACAAAATTCTAAAACTTCCTAAATTACATCAAGCTTACTAAATATTGGTAGAATTAGTAATCTCCTACATGGTATAACAGACTGAAGTGATGCAATCGATAATGCTATATCTCTGCAGTAAGAAATATGTCAAAATAAAATTATTAAAACACTCCTCAGTAAAGAAAGAATGTACTCAACAACAAATTTATATAAAGAACTAAACGAGCTATCTGTTAAAAAAATTTGTCTAAAGATTACTGTTTTATATTTGAAAAATCACAATTTATTACAACCAATATTGCATGGAATAAACACAAAATACGCAAAAACCAATCATATCATAAATAGATCTAAAAAAACACATGTAGATATTTTGAAATAATTGGAACCAAATTATAAAACAAAATAATATCATACATAATAATAAGCCTACCAATTAATTTATTAAAAAAAATATATTTTGCAATGGTTATTGGAATCTTCTGATGAATTATTAATATTATACAAATAATATTGCATTCATTATTTACTCTAATCAATATAAAATAATTTAGTTCTAATCTTGTAAACAGAATAAAAGCGTTATTTTTGTATAATTTGCTTTAGAACTCAATTAGTACATGAAATTAAAATTTTAAAAAAAAAGTAATAACGTTAATTGATTTTTGAAATATAATTAAAATTATTCATATCAGTTAACAAAAAAATTATAAACTTAATTTTATGTATACTGCACTTAAAATGTTGGGTGGAGCAATACATTTATTAGTTTTACAATGATGTCAAAATTTATTTTTGTTAATATTTGTTTTAATTTTAATACCTACCTAAAAATATTTACTCTGGCAGAAATGTTTCAATCTTTAAATTCAAAAGTAATTGCTTGTATAAAATGTTATCTCATATTTCTTAAAATTTAGTTGGTACGTACTTTCGATAAATTCTAATACTTTCAAATTGGGGAAAAATGATGGAAAACGGAATTTTTACGCAAACCCAGTTTTCAATAAAATTAATATTATTTTTTGATTGTATTAATCAAATTTTATAATATATTTATAATATATTTTATAATTTTTTATAATTAATTTTATTATTAATTATTACATTATTTATTATGTATAAAAATGCTGATATAAAAACTTGGTTAAAATTTCAAGGTAAAAATGTAAGGTTATTTATTTATGAATTACGACAAAATTAAAAAATTGTTTGATAAACATTTTTTACAAGTGAATATCCTATTTTCTAAAAGCTCACAAAAAATAATTTAAATTTACGTCCTATTTTTTTTTTTTGAGTTCACAAATAAAAAATTATGAAGAACTTTTTATTCAATTTCCCAGCTTTTTTACACATCAAACATTTTTTATCAACATTTATAAAAAAACAAAAAACAAAACGAAAATAAAATTTTCAAATGACTCAAAAAAAAAAAAAAAAAATCAAAACATTTTGAAAATGATAATTATAAAATAGAAAATGATTATTACTCAGGGAAATTTTAAATTATCGAAGGTTAATTTTTAGAGTTACACTAACAAAAATCGATTTTTTCAAAATAAATACTGGTTTTACGTCAAAGTTCTCGTTTATCCTTATTTTTTCCCTTTTTTATTAAATAACCAAAAATAAATTGGTTTATATCATTTCAATTGTAGATTATTTGTTTATAGTAATAAGTAATAACACTATTTATTATTACAATATATTTTCATATGATTTCAAAATACTTTATAAATTAATTATGGTCAGTTCATATATTTTAAGTTATAGACGCGTGACTTTATAACTTATATTTTACAACAAATTTAATAATAGGCACCAAATTTATCATTAGTCTTGCGATTTTACATTGACTGTGTATTGCCGAATTAGAACTTTTAGATTAATGTTTTTTCTTTATTATCTTTAACAGTGTATAAAAGGTAATTATTTTATTATTTTTAAACCATTTAATTTATTCTTGTTTATTTTTACGTAATATTTATGCCTTTTTTGATGATCATCTACACTACTTGACGTTTTTTAAAAAACAATTCATCAATGTAATTTTCCATTATTTTAATGCTTCAATTCACCTATATACAGGTACAAAACTCTATTTTATTGCTAAACATAAAGAAATTATAATTAAATCCGTTTATATTATAATTTCAATTGACATAAATATTTTTAATTTATTATGTATTTTATTGTCTAATAGTTTCTACATCTTTAAATACTTTTATTAATTATAAAATTTCATTACATCTAATCAGTACACATGGAAAGTACTTAAAAAATGTAAATAGTTTTCAACAATTGAAATAGTTAAATATAGGTACCCCAAATACTTGCCACTAGACAGTAAACATATTAAAACTACCTATGTTTTATTGAATAAAGTGAAGATATAAGCCAAAAATAAACATGTTTTCACAATAAACCTACCATAAACTACGAATATGGTATAATTAATGGAAAAAAAAAAATTTAATAATTCAATCGATGTGAATTCGTATAGTGTGGAAACGTTTACAGGCGCCCATTAATCAAATTGAAATTTTCTGTGGAAACTTTTGGCTTAAATCGTCACAATTAATAATTGTTAGAATTTTTATAGATATTTGAACATAATATTTATGCCAGTGTAGCGGAACTAATATTAATAACAGAATAATAACTTAGAAATATCCAAAAAATTAATCCATGACATTAGTGTAGCTAAATAGCATATCCAGGACGCCGTGTGATTAAGATCGTATAATATTATTATAATAATATGTAAATATACAATTAATTATTGTAGACTATATTTTAGCAATTATTAATAAAATGTCCTTAGCACTAAATAAGATACATTGAACAAATTAATAATTAAAACACTTTGTTCTTGAAATAGCGTTTATTATTCTTATTTACAATCCATGCAAATGTGAGACCAATAAGTGTGATAATAATATTAGATTATGTTGAAACAAAATAATTATTGTTGTTTTCAATCAACATACTTACCGATCAATGGTTTCAGTTTGAACGAATGTCATGTTAGTTTAAAAAGATACTTGATCATACCTTTAAGTTGTTACATTCCATTTACTTGTATCAGTTTTAACTCTTGACTTCATTTTTAATGACCTAAAAGAACCTAACTTTGAAGAAATAAAGGAATGTGTTAATATAAATCTCTGACATCTCAAATTAAACATGTATACATAATTAAAATGTATATAATAAATATAATATATAACAATTATTTCGGCTTAATGAAGAATTTGATAATAGGTATAATCACAATCATACGTGAGTAAATATACTTATATTGTATGTGTGCATGTGAATTGTATTCACAATCCCTATTACAAAGAAAACTTCAAATAATCTAAAATAATTATTTTACAATTTTATAGGAAAGACGAAAGATATGTAATCATAAGGGCTATGGTTATAATAAAAACAACTAAGTTTAAATCACATTTAACAATTAATATTTATATTTATAGTCCTTTATAAATTGAAAGTATTATAGCCATACTTCGGATAAAGACAGAATAGAATTATTATTGGTACTCATTGAAATAAAGTATATTCATAAATAACTGTTACACAAAATAAAATAATTGAATAATAATAATAATCTTACCT